ATTTAAATAATTGATCTTTTTTTATTTAAGACCCATAATTATGTGTATTAACAATCAAAAAAAAGTGTAATTATGTGTACAATCAAAAATAATTTTTTTTTCAATAGAAACAATTTAAAAATAAAAATGAAAATTATAGTATAATAGTATTTTAATTTTAATTTTAATTATTATTAAAATATTAAATATATGTACCAAATGACTGATGACTACCAGTGCAGTCTTATTAAACTATATAAAAGAAAGTTAATTGTGTGAACGCCATTTTTTTATAAAAAGATAAAGAAAAAATTTGACCTGGTAAAGAAATTTACATGGAACTCAAAAAAAAAAAAGTTGAAGGAGTTTCACTTTTGGGAAGACGATAAATGCCGGTGTCCAGCACTTCAATTTTGAATAATCCATCACTCCTTTGTTTGGTGAATTGTGTTCATCTTTAAGAAAATGGCAAGTTTAATAAGGCTTTCCCAAGTCCTCTGCCTTTCCTTCATGTTGTTACGGTTTTCTCAATCTTCCTCCGATTCATCACCACATTTGTGCCGTCCTGAAGAGCGTTCTGCATTGCTTGATTTCGAAAGCACTACGGATTTGATGGATTACTCTCATTGTAGTCCTATAATACAGACTTGGAACGAGAGTAAAGACTGCTGCTTGTGGGAGGGCATCACATGCGACAAGGTGAAAGGTCACGTGATTGGCCTTGATCTCAGCTGGAATTGTATTGAAGCCAGTCTAACTTCAAATAGTAGTCTCTTCCGCCTTGAGAAATTGCAGAGTCTCAACCTTTTTGTCAATTATTTTTATTATCCTAACAGCTCATTTGGGTTCAACCATTGGAAGAGTTTGACATATCTTAATCTTTCATGTACGAGATTTCATTTCTTTTTCTTTTGTTTAAAATCTCCATGCTTCCAAAACTAGTTTCACTTCTTCTAATGTGACAAATCTTTAACCTTGCAGATTCAGGATACATGTATGGCTCTCTCCTGTTTGATGAGATCTTCTTGCTACCAAAATTGGTTTCACTCGATCTCTCTGGTAATTATGGTTTGCTTCCTGACAACATAAAGTTTCAAATGCTTGTGCATAATTTAACAGAATTAAGGTTTCTTATCCTTGATTTTGTGAATATGTCTCTGGTTGTGCCTTCTTCCTTGCTAAACTTGACTTCTTCCTTGGAGCATTTGAGCCTTAGAGGTTGTAGTTTGCAAGGAAACTTTCCAAACCAAGTTTTTCAGCTTCCATCTCTCCAGCTTCTTGATTTAAGGGCAAACGCTCATTTAGGGGGTTATTTGCCCGAGTCAAACCAGAGTAGTACCCTCAAGTATTTGAATCTTGCAAGCACATCCTTCTCAGGAGAGTTGCCTCATTCAATCGGAAATCTTAAACTCCTAAAGGAATTGAATCTCTATCAATGTCAATTTTATGGATCAATTCCTAGATCTCTTGCAAATCTTACAGAGATAACTCAACTACAGTTTTCTTTCAACGATTTGCGAGGGCAAATACCAGATGCTTTTGGAAAAATGCACAAGCTAACTTATTTGAGCTTAAATGAAAACAATTTTGGTGGTGAAATTCCTGCATCAATCTTCAACCTCACCCATCTTACTTCTTTGTCACTATCATCGAATAAGCTATTAGGTCGTATACCATCTTGGTTGTTTTCTCTCCCTTCTTTATCCTATTTAGACCTCCGAAGCAACTGCCTTACGGGACCTATTGATCATGTTGAGATACCCAATCTCTTTTTACAAGAAGTCTATTTGTCCAATAATGAGATAAGTGGTTCAATTCCTAGCTCCTTCTTTGATCTTGTAAATCTTACTAGAGTCGACCTTTCTTCAAATAACTTAACTGGCACCCTTACACCCGACATGCTTTCAAAGCTTGTAGTCCTTGAGGATCTTGATCTTTCCCATAATAGTTTGCTATCTTTGAGCAATAATGGCACTGCTGTCAACTATTCCTTTCTTTCGAGCCTCCAGTTTTTAAAATTCTCTTCTTGCAACATACACAAGTTCCCAAGTTTCTTAAGGAAGGCAGAGAGTTTGCAACTATTGGATATTTCCAAGAACAAGATTTCTGGTCAAATTCACAAATGGGAAATAGAAGGGATGTCATTGAATGCATTAAACCTTTCTTATAACTTCTTGACTGGTATAGATTTATTCGGTTTTGGAAGTCTTGTAATTGTTGACCTCAGATCCAACTTACTACAAGGATCACTTCCCATTCTATCAACAACTTGGCATTCTATGCAAGGACTCCTCATTTCAGGGAATAATTTGACTGGCGAAATCCCTCCTTCTTATTGTAATTTTACTTCTCTTGGAGTTCTAGTCTTAGCTAATAATAGGTTGGGAGGAAAAATTCCAGAATGTCTGGGAAACTTGAGTGATCTCAACATCTTGGATCTGCGGATGAATAAGTTCCATGGTAGGATTCCAAATTTATTTGTCAACAACTATGAGTTGTTAACTCTCAGCCTAAATGGCAACCAGTTGGAAGGGATACTGCCACGGTCTTTGGTTAATTGCAGTGTGTTGGAAATTCTAGATGTGGGGAACAACAACTTGAATGATACCTTTCCACATTGGTTAGGTGTTCTTCCATTGCTAAAGGTTCTCATCCTTCGGTCTAATCGATTTCATGGTGTCATTAGCAATTCTGTGCCTGCATTTTACTTCCCTCAGTTGAGAATCATTGATGTCGCACAGAATGATTTTATGGGTCTCTTACCGGGTAACTATTTCAAAATTTTGAAAGGTATGAGAGATGTAGATCCAGCTGATAAAGTCAATTCGGAATACATTGATGACAATATCGAATGTTTACCAAAAGGAATTTGCATAGCTTTTGATATGATTTATAAGTTTTCTGTGAAGGTAGTAATGAAAGGGTTAGAGATGGAGCTTGAAAGGATCTTGACAATTTTCACAACCATTGATTTCTCAAGCAATCGATTCCATGGGAAAATTCCTAAAGAGCTAGGAGAACTCAATTCACTTTTATTGCTAAACTTATCTCACAATAGTCTCAGTGGTCAAATCCCGTCATCATTGGGGAAATTAGCAGAACTCGAGTCATTAGATCTCTCGTCAAACAAGCTTGAAGGCAGGATTCCAGAGCAATTAACAAAGCTGACGTTCCTATCAGTTTTGAATCTTTCACACAATGAACTTGTGGGCCACATACCTGAAGGGAAGCAGTTCAATACTTTCTCAAATGATTCCTACGTTGGGAACTCTGGGTTGTGTGGATTCCCATTGACAAAAAAATGCAAAGAACCAAGACCACCTTCACCACAATTTGATGAAGAAGATGACTCTACAGCAGTCTTTGAGTGGAAGTTTGCATTGGCAGGCTATGGGTGTGGACTGGTGTTGGGACTTAGTCTGGGATACATTGCCTTCACTACAGGAAAACCATGGTGGGTAGTGAAGAAAGTGGAAAAATATCAACAGAAATTAGTTGGGAGGTACAACCGAAGTCATAAGCAGAGAAAAATTCAAAAACCCAACCAACGCTCTTAAGTGAGTAAGTTTCTACAACTCTCACTATAATATTTGTGTTCTATATAAGTTCTAACCATAAAAATCAAGGCATGTTATATAATAGTGACACTTAATTTTTCTACTTTTGCTTTATTTTATATAGGTGCAAGCAGGTACTGTTGATTTCCTACTCCGGGGAGATCAGGCAACAGTTTGCTTCTCGAGTTTGTTTCCATCATTTTCATGTTCATTGTTGATATATAGTTGTATTGACTTGTGTGGGAATTATGGTTATGTATGAATTTGTGTTGATTTCTTTTGGATTTGATCTATCTGCTCTGCACGCAGTTCTCGTGTATTTTGTTACTGTAATTTGATCCTTCTGTGATATTTGCCGATCAATCTCTTCATATCATATTTTGTCCTCTTCTTTTGGTTTGGTTGCCTTTGAACGGTGCGTTTCACTGAATAAAAATGAAAATTTCTTAAAATGTGGTGTGAACCCCAGTCGTCTCCTTTCGCCATATTTTCCGATCAATTGAAATTTCGAATCAGTCTCGAAGCGGACGCAGCCGAGCGATTTGGAAGAGGATAAGGAGTGCCAGCCGATCGACGGCCGAGACGGCCTCTGCTCTCTGGAGGCACATTCTCTAGCCATCGCGATCTCTAGACAGGTAATTTTCTTTTTGTGTTTTACATTCTGTTTTCTTGATATGGTAATCTCTTGTATTAACGGAGGAAGCTGTGGTAATTTTCTCTGTGGAATAAATTAATGATTTTAAATGTGCATGAATTGTTTGGTGGGATTTTATTGTTCTTCTTGTAGATATAGAAATCAAGAGATTGTTTTGAAGACGAGGGCATTAATTAAACAATAAACAAGAAATTAGGAGTAAATTTCTGTTGGGATTTTGTTAAAAAAAATCAAGAAATTAGCTTTAGCATTAACATTTGTAAGTTCTGAGTCGGATATATTCAAGGGAGGTAACAGTGGATCATAAATTTCTCATTCGTGAACTTTTATTTAAATTCTGTTTGCTTGTACTGTATGGATGGTCAATCATACCATGTAGACATCAGGCAGCTTCATCTTCTTCATTTTTTTTTTCTCTTAGATAAATTGGAGTTGCAGTTGTTGTTATAGTGGTAAACTCATCAATGGATACTTTTGCTCACAGATATAAGGTGTATCCTACAGGCATCTTAAAATTAAGAGTCTATTAAACAGATATATGACCCAAGACACATCTTCAGAGGAGGCTTCTGTTGTTATGGCTGGTGTAAGTGCTCGTTTTATTTTGCTTCTAGAGCCTAAGAGTTGTTGTTGAAACATGACAAATATCTTTACATATTGTTTTTATTATGGTGTGATCTTCATGGATCATTTCTTGTTTCTGGACAAAAGCTAATATAAAGAAAGTAGCATCAATCAAATAATCCATCCTTCTGGCTCTGGTGTTGTAGAGTATACTTCAGAGTTCAGTGATGGTTATAAGGAACACATTCTCAGTTTTGGGACCGGACACCCAAGAGGAAAGGCTCAGAGGATCTGGAAAATTCTTACTGGAGATTGCCATATCAGTTATGGATGTTAAAATGCATGGGTTGTGTGTTGATGCTGCAATCACTGGCGTAATGCTCCTCCATTAGCAAAACTCCAGGTGATTCCTTATATAATTACCCTGCCACTTGCAAATGGATTCTGTAGAAGTTCTTCAAATGGTCTAAGAGGTTTTGAATAATTGTTGGATACATGATTTCCAAAATAGTTTAAGCATAGAAACTATATTTATTCTTACAGTCAGTACATCCAAAGTTTATCTGTTGGTTTATTCTTTGTTGGCTGACCTGATCAGACCTGACTTCAAGATCCGACACCAGGTTTTAATACACAGGTAAAAGTGAAAAGATGATTTTTTTTTTTTTTAATTTTCTTGAGATGTTAACCTAGAAGTGTTTGAAAAATTGATGATTTTTGCTTAACTACTCAACTAGATATTTTTGCTTACAGATGACAATGGTATATCCTGCAGGCATCCTAAACTTAGAGTCTGTTGAACAAAGAGAGGCATCTTAAAATGTAATTGTCTTTACATTTCGTCATTATTTTAGTATTATCTTCATGAAATCTTCATGAATCATTTCTTATGTCTGAGATCAGCTGCT